CCCAGCTACATGCTAACTACATGCCAGTTTTTCTGGAAAAACAGTAACTTTCGCCCACGTGGCTTGTCAGAACAGCTATGAGTACAAGCACACCACACGACAATCCGGTCGATTCTTGTTAAGAGATTGATGCCAGCTGGGGTGTAGTGGTTATACACTCTACTTGTAGCACGCAGAAGACCCAAGTTTGTTTCCCGTGTGGGGAGAATTTCTATATAGTACCTCGCCCTTTTCGCTGAGACGTATTCCTCTCTCCTCAGCCTGGGTTGACCCCGACAAGCAGGGTCGAAGCCAGCCTCTTAAATGATCAAAATTATTACGATAGGAGTGTAAAAGCACCTCCGATTAAATAAGAATTCCCACAAAAAGCGAAACAAAAAAGAAAGAGAAAGTTTGCGAAATAATTCATTGTTTCCACAGTTTTCACTGTTGATGAAGAGACTGCATAGTCAAACTGTAGATATCCATTCCCTAGCACTCGTTCTTTTGAAATGCATCTGTAAGATGAGATATATTTGTGTGGGAGGGAATTGTGTGTCTGTGTGTGTTTTGTGTGTGGAAGAAAGTGTTTTTGTGTGTACGTAGGGATTAAAGGAGGAGGAGTCTCCAGTGAAAGGTACCAGCTGAAAGTGTAATTTCTCTCTTGTTGAAATATTGTCATGAAAAATCATTTGAACATCACAACCCAGATATTATAGATATACCTGTGTGAAACAAATAAGTTTCATATTATCAACTTTCCTGCCTTCCTTTGTACTTCTTTATTTCTGCAATTTGACAAAAGACTGCGACATGAAAAGAGTTATGTCTGTCTTATGAATATTGCAAAAGATACAAAAGTTACACCACAATTGAGACCTTTGTGGGGTTTTTGGCATCAATACCAATCTGAAATATGTGGGACACGACATATCAACCGAAAGACGAAGATACTCGCTACAGGAATAATTTCCTGAAGAGAGAATGGAACCCCTGACTCTACAGAATTAAGGCGATAATTCCAACCACATCAACACATGCAACCAGTTAATCCTAAGCAAAGCCAAAGGCACTAATTGTATAACGGATCTAACTCCAGCAGCTGTCGTGAACAACACAGGTGCATTGATCAATGCAGGTGCAGCCAATCTTTTGTAGCCTAACCCGGTTATCTGTTGACTCACGGTGAGGCTCCTAATCATACCCAGCGCGAAACTAGAGCTTTCTGCCCACTGTCAGCAGTTGTTAATCATTTCCTACCGGTGGATGATGCAGCAGATCCAGATTTGAGTAAATATCCGACACATGAGTCGAGAACATTCTAGGTTTTAGTCCTGTGTTGTCATAAACTCGAAAAGTCTACCTTCCTTATCTCTCCTCCGTATTTTGCATAATAACTAGTTACTCTCTTGTAACACGTCTAATATTCGCCACTTATATGACCTTATTGTGTTTCAAGTACCGTAAAACTTCTGCAAAGACAGGAAAACATGAAAATTGTGAAATCGGAAAGGAGGAAAGAAGTCAAGTATTTATATATTATATTATATATATATATATAAATTATACATATATATAATATATATAAATATATATATATATATATCTATATATGTATTATAAATAGTATATGTTGACTGGCTATATATTGGCCATTAGGCAATTATCTAGCTGTCGTCGAAATTATACCTTTAATTTCTGCTACTGTCCACATTGTTCTGTATTTTCTATTGGGCACCTTAATTTGAGCCGAAATTTCGAAAAAAGAAAGGCATCACAGGCTGTGTAGGCTTTTTTTTTTTCACCTTCACTTACGGGCACATAAGTGTCGTTGTTTAACTCACAACTTGGCAGCATGAGTAGAGGAAAAGAATAAGGAATATCAGAAGATAGTGCAGACACACACAGGGCGCACCGCTAACTCAGATGATACCGTGCTCAACTATAGCGCGAATGGTCGTGGATCGAATCGATAACAGGGCGTTCTGAACTGGAGTTGTTTTGGAGAGTCTTTAAGGCTCTCCACGTATTTGGCTATCGAAGAAAGTTGTTATATTCTCAGGTCTTGGATCTTAAATATAGTGCTGACAGGGGCGCTAACCCAATATATTGAGTGAGATCAGACACCCATAAAGTAAAACGAACAGAGAGAAGATAACTTGGAAACGATAGCAGTTTGTAACCAGAATAAAGTTTTTCAGAAGAAAAACATACAGTAAAGGGCGCATCCAGTGACCATGTTCTCACAGAACTATACACAGAGGCTGGAAATGAGGGCTAAAATAGCTGTTGCGTAATACTGCATATGTACTGAGGGCTTCAAAGCATCTCCCTCTGTCAAAGTTCTGAAGCAGGAAGAAGTCTCCAGTATCTGAATTTCTTCTACGAGGTGTCCATGTGAGGAACATCATGACGTGCGGTTCGGCGCAAACATGAGTTGCCGCCGTAGTTTTGTGTTTATATGTGTATTTTCAGTGTTCCGTATTTGATGCTTCAAAACGGAGCTGTTGACCGCCTAAAAAATCTTCTAAGCATCGTGTTCTTCCTCTTCCTGCGTCTGAGAGCGATTTCCAGCACATTCCGAAACACACTGTGCAGCCCATGTCGTTCTTTCGAAGAGCACTCCACATACAAACGAGCACCAATCTTTTTAGCCAGTCTGTGAGCTTCTGCAGGCGTCACAGTTTCCGTTTCCGGTACCTTTCCGCGCATGTCTGTTTGAGTACCGACGAGGACGACGGGACACTTACGCCTCGCCAGACGCCGGACTTCCGGGTACCAAGAGTCTATGACGCTGGAGAAAGACTCACGATCTCGCACGGAGAAACACAGCAGCAGTACCTCTGTATCTTGGTACACATGGGATCGGACATCGTCGAAATCGGTCTGGAAAGAAAGAGAAACATGAACACATGAAATGCCTGCGACAGGTATCGATAGTGTTAGTAGCCTCTTTGCTGCCGCACATAGGAGGAGATCTGAGTTCGATTCCCGGGTGGAGAGAATGTTTTTATCCTGTATCTATGTTTTTCTTTTGGGGTATCCCTCTCAGTCCTGGTTGACCTTGAGAGGCCGTGTCAGATGCGTGCCTCTTAAATGAACTAACGTGTATCGAAGGACATTTTTTTTAAAAAGGAATGGATCACCGCTTATCAGTACCTTAGGTCAGCAAGCAAACACACACACACACACACACACACACAGACACACACACATACACACACACACACACACACACACA